TTTTATAAATTTGTTTTTTATTAACGATTATGCAACTCAAACCCCTGATTCAAACTAGAATCTAAAGACTGATGAATTCTTCCTCTTGGTTTTTTACACTTTGCTGCTGAAACTGTTAGTTGAGGCCTAAAAAAATAAGTTTGTTTCCTGTAACCCAACCGACCCATTCAAATTACCCCCGGGCGGATTTTTCTTCTGCCAAATCTGCATTTGCTCTTTGGTTTGATCAATCAGCTGATTCCATTTATTAAAAAAATATTAATTGTAACTTTATTTGAGATATAAAATATGTCATCCTAGTCAACATTTACCTTGAATATAAAGAGTAATCATAATTGTAACAACAATTTCCACCCACAACTTTTTGAAGTTCGTTTTCTGCCACTAGGCAGCCATGTTGGTTGTCCACTTTATATATAACACCTGGTTAATTCAGTCCGAGGATGTTTGACCCTATTATCCATAAGAAAAAAAAAATTCACGACCTACCGACCCTTGATTTTTTGGGAATGTTACAGGAAACAAACAAATTTTTTTTAGGCCTGATATGAAAGAGATTTATCAAATATATGAATTTTAATTATCGAAATTTTAATTTAACACGCCCAGGCGGGCGTCAATACATGCAAATTTGTTGGCCTGCTGCAAAATTTGTGTGTCTCAGGCAGTCGGGCGCACGGTTATTTCAAACACTGATTTAAGAATATGTGATTTGTGTTAAAATGAAAGTTTTCCCTTGCAGAAGAGCAGACTTGTCGAAATTTTGAAATCACTGTCAGACATTTGGTCTGACAAAGTCAAATGTTCTGTCGGACCGGACGAAGTTTTGTCAGACCAGATACATGTACCTTATTTTGACGCTGAGAAAGGAAAATAAATAACAGCACCAAAATGCCCTTTAATATTTTCAACAGCCTTCAATCTCGCAAGTTTCTTTTCTTGGGATAGAAAGTCTTTGATAAGAGACATAAATAACATATTTTATGTCTTCCCTGTAATAATTTAAATTGACCATCGTCACTACGCCGTGCACACTGCCATCTCGTCTGTGTTTGTGACCTTCAGTTGGGCATCACGATCCCGACCTTTTTTAAATTTGCGTCACGTTCGATTTTTTCAAACGGTCATTTGGACTGACATTTTCTTGAAAGTTATCAGTCCAGACATTTTTTTACCGGCTTTGCCGACAGGACCGACGGATTTCGACAAGTCTGGAAGAGAAATTTAATAAAAGAATTTTAAATTATCCATTGACTGTCATCTTTTGGATTCAGAACGAAACCACTCAGGTCGAAACACAAGGGTCGAACACATTTTAGAAACTTAACCACTCGTATTTGCTGAAATGAAGAGAAAATGAAAAATTAAAATGATATGAAACTGTAAAATTTTGTTGTCTGATGTTTTTCAATCATCGGAATGAAATAAAATACAGAATAATATTCTCATGATTTTCTATCTCTGTTTCAGTGGTCATTTCATTAAAAAAAATCAAAAAAAAAAAAAAAAAAAAAAAAAAAATATTCCCTACCTTCCTACCCTAATTTTTTCATCAGTGTTACCTGAAACAAACAATTTTTTTTAGGCCCTATACAAAATATGAGACTGTTTTGGATTATCACAAAAGAAAAAGAAATTGCTCTGAAAGAGACACATCTTTCACGTATTGTTTTAAGGTCAGTTCAAAGTTGAAAATTTTTACTGCATCAAATTGCGATTTTCTGTACATCCTAAAAAATGCCAATTCAAGAAATAAGCATGATTAACTGATTAAGTAGCAAAATAAATAAATAAAGCTATTTCAGGTAGGTAAATAAAGCTATGTAGGTATTTCAAGCCAGGTAGCTAAATCTAGTGATTGTACCAGACCTTTACATTACCAGCTACACGTGTGGGACATATTTTCTCTGTGGGACTTGTCTCACTATCAGCAATCTCCCACAAGTGTGTGATTATTACCTTATAGGTAAACAACATGCACACTTAACTTTTCCTTTTTTTTGGTTTTCTCAAAACCTACGACCTTTCCTGTAGGCATAGATTAAATACACAAACAACCCCTATGATATGTTCGAACGAATATTTACAAACAAACGTTTCGGTCAATCTCCATCGGCCAGCAAGTTTCACTACCCCCTCGTTTACAATCGAATGCGGTTTCTTTTTCAACCAAATTGACTGTGCAATAAAACATGGTAGCTTTACATACGTACAGTGTTACATGCGGCTCTCATCTAGATGTAGATATCTAGATATACCCCTTTCCACACAATCTCCACTCTCGAGCAATGGCCGACTACTTTACCAACACAGCCCGGAAAGTAACGAAGTGATTCGATTGGATGTCACTTCGGATGTTCTCGACGAAAATCCCGCGAAGAAATCAAGCATGTGGTTGATCATACCTTGCACGTCAACTACGATATCATCATCAATATCCTACCAGCAAGTTTAGTGTTGCATATTTAATATCAAGTTAACACGGCCAGTCACAAAAAATTAACTGGTTTTATGAATTTTTATCGATGTCCGAATGCAGCTGGCTTACAACCTCATGAAACTGCATGGCCTGCCCTCGCGGCCTTCGTTGCTTCATGAACCCGACCTCGCACACTACACATATGACGACCTATTTGACGTATATCAGAGTGTGCAATTTATGCTTTCAAACAAATAATTTGCAGAATAAATGAAACATTATTTCAAACCTCTATACTGCAAGATACGGCTCCTTCGTTTTCGTAACTTCTCACATCATGCAGCATCCGAACTCCGCGTACGATTAACGTTTGGGGTCTTGTGACACGTGTTACAAGGGGTCTCGGTATTACCAATATGTAAATTTTTACGTCCTGGTATTACGTAAGGAACTTGACCCGAACTGGTGTATCTAAAACACCATGGGTCACTTTAATCGATTTTGTATGAATGGCCTATAGACTTTGCTTGGATAGATGCATGGCTGCGACGGAAACAAATTTTACTGAATATTTTAAGGTGGCAAAATGGGGGGGGGGGGTGAATATACACAAAAAATCCGCCATCAGACACCTCTTGTCCCATAACTTAATTAAGGCCTACTTGAGCCAACATTTGATAAAAAAGAGATGTCGATAAAATAAACCAGCAAGTTCAGTGCACGATATTTTACAAATATCGCACAAGTTTGCATTTTTTTTTTCGCAAATAGGTTTATAATATTATAAAGGCACGATAATGTGAAACTGGGTCCTTCACAAAAACTTGACATTGTGGAAATGGCCAGGCAGCATGACCAATGAAAGTAAAAAAATTGAATAATTGTATAATATATTCAATGTAAATAATAGCTGTATAAGTTTACGTGCACACCATTGTCTTGAGGGACTGTCATACCTCTTCACCCCACAGGTGGCGTAGCAAGGATTTTGAAATGGGAGGAACCTCCGAAAAAAGTGACAAGCAAAAAATAAAACTTAGCCTGACCAAACTCTAAATCGTAACTCGGGGGGTGGGGTGTCCTTTTTTCAAACATTTTTTTCATATATAACAGGCCCGTATAGGACTGAAGCAGTTTCATTTGGGGGGGGGGGGGGGCACAGCCATACATTTTCAGTTGGGGGGGGGACACTATTCCTTGACAAGCAAAAACAAATATTGAGGGGGCACAAGCTAGTTGTAGTTATATTTTCTCTGGTAATCTATATATCGGCAAATTTATTAGGGGGCACGTGCCCCCATGCCCCCCCCCCGTTCCTTCGGCCATGAATATAGGTATGTTTGACCGTGCAGCAACAAAAAAGAGTGTGTGAGTGAGGGGGGGGGCATCCAAGTAAAATTTTACATTATGATATTAAAACTAAAGCAAACGACTCTCAGAAAATGGGGGTGGGGTGGGGGCCGCGTACTAAGGACCTGACAGGTCCTGCCTCACCCCACCCAGGCAACTTCATTGAAGAAAGCATAATCAGACGTAATCAACTTATATGAACCACTCAATAGTGCATAGACAAAACGTACCTTAGAATTCGTGAAATCTATTTGCACAAATTTATAAAATTTATGGCCTTTAATTAAAAAAACAAAACAAAAAAAAACATATGCATGGAGGTCGGATAGAGAAAAATTCTATATCACTCTTGAAAAACAATTGTCTAAGCACTGAGTGTTAAAAAATTGCCCAAGTCCTAATGGTCACCTAGCTGAGTATAATACAACATTGTAAATGATCGAAAGAAGTATTAAATAAGACAAAAATGGGCAGATAAAAAAAGCTAAGTTGCCCAATTAAATGCAAGGGAAAGAGGATGGGATGTTCGGGGATCAACAGAATAATTAATCTATATATAGTGCTCACCGAAAGCCAGTAGATCTATTTACTTGCTTGTACTTGTCCCCTTTTGTCACTATTACCATTCTGACTACTGTAAATCACAAATTTTTCGCGACACCGCGTATTTTCGCGAGATAGGTATTTGGTATTTATAAGCGAGAAAAAAAATCACAAATGCTGGTTATTGCTGTAAAAATCCTATGCTATTAAGAATATACGCGATAATGAAATTTTTGAGAGCAAACGTACCGTCTCGTGTAATTACGCGAAAATACAGTTCTCGCGAATTAAAAGTGATTTACAGTACTCAAAACAATATTGCTTTATGACTGTTTTTCACACGTAAATTGTCACCTTGGATTAAATCCTTCGTGACACTTCTGTGAATTCGGGGAACTAGCTCTTGCTCTATATATGCCAGCCGGCTTCTACGGGATATCTAACTGGAAAAATGGAAAAGTCCAATTTAACTCAAAAAGATCTTTATTGATGTAGCTCTAGGTAGAAAAAGTGAAAGAGATCGTTATAGATAAGTTTAATTTGTTAAATTTTAAACTTTTAAAGTAACACACTGGGAAGCCATTTCATTCATTCTCACATATCTTGCTCTTTGAAGAACATTTAATGTACAAAGATAAGGTATTTTTGTCTCGTTATTTATCAAAAATTCTTGTATAATTCTCTTGTTCAATTGACCTTTCAGTTATTAATTATCATAGGAGAATAGCAAAGGGGAATACTTTCTCTTAGATGACCACAAATTAATAGAGGCCTGCCCAGCGCCAGAACACCTGAGCAAAAGGTCCAGAATTTAAAATTCCGGTAAAAATACCCTTGCTTATTACAACTTTGTACTCTGTTTGCCTCCTGTATATAGATGCCCAGAAACAGAGAAGATTTTCAAAGAATAATGCATTTTTACTAAGATTCAACACAACCCCGACCTAACCCTATAACACCAAAACCCCTTACTCAGGGGCCATGAAATTCACAATTTTGGAAGAGGCACCCTTGCACATAGGGGCAGTGAAGAAGATTTTCAAAGACTTAATGTATTTTCACTAAATAGTCAATAGAGCCCCTACCTCCAGAGGCATCAGACCCAGGGGCAGAGAAATTCTCAATTTTGAAAGAGGCACCCTTGCTCATCACAACCCTTCACTGGGTATATTTGCTAAATACCCAGGGACAGAGAAGAAGATTTTCCAGTTTCACGATATATTCAACAGAGCCCTCCCACAACAAATCCATGACCTCGAGGCTAAGAATTTCATAATTTCGGAGGAGGCATCCTGCCATTCTACCAGTTTTCTGGAAAGAGGGGCGCGGGGTGTCTGGGAGAGGTACCTCCTACTCTGAGTTAGACATTTTTTAGCAGGCCTGTAGCAACGATTTTCAAGGGGGTGGGTGGGGGCAACCTCCCACAAAAAAGTAAACTGTCCAAACTATAAAATCCTAGGGGAGGGGTTCTAACTTTTGGTACATTTTTTCATTCATATGCTGAAATTCTCAAAACTATAGCAAAAGAATATTCCAAAAAAGGGGGGAGCGGGCCCGCGTAATACGGGCCTTTTTAGTAATGGGTATTATTTTTGTGGGTTTTGGTGCATTCTAAAATCACCCCCCCCCCCCACATTTTAATAAACAAAATCTAGCAGCATTCAAACAAAAAGAAAAACATTGAAGTTGTTTTGTATAAAAAAATATTTTGGATTTTTTTTCTTAAAAAAAGGGGGCGCGCGATCTCATCCCCCAACGTACTCCTCCCCCTTGCCGACGGCCTTGACAAATTTAAATATATGCATACATAATCGTTTGGCATAAAAATTCACATACTTTCATTTGGTCGATCCATAGATATATCGACTTCACTGAAAAGCATATCGACCGAGCACGAAGTGCGAGGTCGATATGCTTCGAAGTCAATTTATCTATGGATTGACCGAATGAAGGGGCTACGTTTTTTATTATATTTTCTACAAAAGCTAAATTAGTTACATTTTTTTAAAAATGGGATGTTAAAAAAAATCACAGTATTATCAGAAAGTATCGGTCAATCAATATTCGCTGATCATCCACTTTAATAAACTTGGAAAAAATTATTTATTGGTTTGCGCCAGCGAATCATGTTCAATTTTACACGTAATGAAAGACCCGGACTATCCGCATTCCTATACTTTGACACATGGGATCAAATGAAACAATGACAATAAAACTCATTACATTGTAAGAAAGTAATATTACATGTACATAAAACAGCTGTTTTGAGGTCCATGAACATTTGAGGGAATGTTGGGTGCAGGTAACTTTTCATAGATAGTTGTTTTAGTTTGGAAGTTCTCAATTTATATATTTTTAGTCCAATTATAAAAAAAAAACAAATCCTTATGGTCACCTGGAAGGTCCATGCAGGTGAACATAATGCAGTATTTTTTTTTTCTACAATTTTGGATCTCAAACAATCAGAGAGCTAGGATTTATCCAATCATATAATAAAATCCATGTAAACAGATCAACATTGTTGAGCAGTTCTAAATTTGGAAAAGTTTTAAAGATCTTATTTACCCTCCCCCTTCCTTTAGAATTATTATACAGCAAAACATTCTAGCAGAAAATGTAATTCTTCTTCTGTTGAAATTGAAATACAGTCACGAAAGACTCACACCTAGGAAAAAGTTCAGTTTTACCATAGTCATTAATTCTTCTTTCCTATATGCTTTTTTACCCTTAGACAATGATTACTAATTCTTAAGAACTGAGAACGAAAGTATTGTTCTGCCGTCTACCCCCAAGTCAGATTTCAAAAGTTAACATATTCATATAGATATTTATGTGAAATTTCATAAAAAATAACTTATTTGGGAAAACACATCCCCCCCTCTGTGAAACCAAAAAAAAAAATCTTTTTTATGGGTTTTATGAATTCTTATTTCACAAATTCATATCAAAGCTTTTGTTGTTTCACCGGGGGGTATATGTTTACAGACAAAAAACTGCAAAAATAGTCATTTTATTTCCAATTTTAAATGAGATTAGAAATAAAATAAGGTCTTTTATCAAATTTTTATGTTGAATTTTACAAAAGTTAACATACGGAAAGTTTTTAGGGTCATTTATCCATTTCCATGCGTTTTTTTTTTTTTTTGGGGGGGGGGGGGATCTAGAGATTTTTAAAGCCTGATTTCAATGGATAAAATTTTCAACCCCCCTTCTGAAAAGAGTCGTAAATAAGAGCAATTAAGTTTTTGACAGTAGTTTTAAAATTATTGATCAATTAATAATGAACTCTTCTTTGCATTCAGTCAAGTTTTAATGGCCGAACTGCCTTTTATATTGATTTAAATTGGTGTAAAATGTAGGCGGGAATCGAGAGTTTGCGTGCGTGGTTCTTCTGTGAGAATTAACCGATGTTGTCCAGGTTTTTTCAAATTCAAGTATTTTTCAAAATTAAATGTCCATATAATTCTAAAAATATGTACTTAATTTTCCAAATCCTTGCAAATAGCTAAACTAAACGCTAGCTGGTGAATTATGATTTGTAGCAAGAGCTAGAGCATAAAATATGTGCTGAAAACGACATCAAGAAGTCACATCTGCTCAGTATTGGCAAGTTTGGTTTGTAATAAACTTGCAGGTTGTTCTCACTTTCTATACCACTTCTTTGCCTCAGTTATTTTTTCTTTGTGCAGAATTAGGTCAAGAATATATGAACTTTGAACTTAACGCACAAAATGGCTAGATTCTTTATTGGCGATGGTCGGCAGAGATAGAACATACATAATTATGTACGTATCATCTTTGAACCTTTCACCTCTGCGGACAATGAATTACCGCCCCACACAAAAGCTGCACGTGAGTATGTATCCAATATATATTGATGGTTCAAAAATACAAGTTATATGGTCTGTAACACCACTGGTGAATAAAGGCGCAGGAGATTTACGTATAATAGCTTCAATTGCATTCAATGCATGAAGTGATGTATTTGTCATTAATAAATAAAGCAGATATCCTAAAAGTCTCTGTCGTCAACATGCATAAAAAATGTTACCTTGATAAATAAAATAGTAGTCTATTTAAATAGTGGTTATATACACATAAGCGTACTGTGCGGGGATAACAGCCCCCCCCCCCCTTTCAAAAAATCCCGATCAACAATACCGCCGGTTATATACGCAGGGGCGGATCGGGTCATTCTTCCATGAAGGGTGGGGATTTATTGCAAACTAAAAAAAACATGAGATTTGTAGCTTTTAAATTTTTTTCTTTTTCTGACCATGATACCTATTCTAATATTTACATTAATTAACCTACCCTTCCTGGTCCGCTGCTGGATCACTTCTCATGCAGGCCCACACTGAACCACGTATCTCACTGAAGATACAATATTGTTTACATACTGATTTATAGAATTATTTTAGAATTATTTTTAATTAGGTATAAAGTGGGTCCGCACTGAATGATTTAGTTAGCAAAAAATAATAACAACTCGCACTATGTATATTTTCAATTGATAAATAAAAATACATTCACAAAATATTTAGTAAACATTGCAAATGTATTTATAAGTATTTTATAAACATATAAAACCCTTGATTTATTTCTGAACGGTATTGACGGATGAAGCTAAACCATAGCGGGCGTGAGAGCTGTCCACGCAGCGTGGCTGCATGTCTTGGGGCCACCTAGCCACTGTGTACAAATACATGTAACACAATTTTTGTTCTCAGGATTTTATAACATTACATGATATTAAAGCAACAAATATCATAGAACGCAGTAATATAACAAATTATTCCCGATACGGGATAAAATTTGGTGATAAATTTATTTATGAGTCGCGCCTGGGGCCCTTTATTTGTGTCCTCTAGTTCTACATGACTTTTCTCACTTTGTTCTTTCAATATATTCGTTCGACATAAAACATTTCTGTCTATAAGATTTTTTAAAAATGATTTCTTGTTTAAAAACTCGCCTGTATTTTATCAGTTTGAGAAAGGTGCATAGGATGGGCAGCGGATCTAGAATTCTAAAACAAATTCGAGTGGAGGAAAAGGAAAAACCCAAATATAATGCAAGAATGCAAATGTAATTTCGTTGGAGGGCATCATCATACTACAACAAAAGGTGGTGGAGGCAGTCGACCCTTATAATTAAATTTGTACTTCTCACTCCATCCCCAACCCCGCCCCAAATATACACACGGGCCGAGGGTCTTAGGATATTTTTTTTGTCTACAATGTACATTAATTATTTCTCTAGCATATAGTTCATGGCCGTAAGAACCGGGGGGGGGGGGGCACGGGGGGCGTGCCCCCCAATAATTTTGCCGATATATAGATTACTGTAATAAACATAGATACTATATGCTTGTGCCCACTCAATAAAAACGTCTGATGACCTTTTTTTTTGCTTGTCAGGGAATTTTTTTGGTAGTTGATCACCCCCCTTTTTTTTTTGCTTGTCGGGGAATTTTTGGTAGTGCCCCCTCAACTGAAAATGTATGGCTGTGCCCCCCCCCCCCCCAAACTGAAATTGCTTCCTGCGGGCCTGTAGTTACAATGTACAATGTACAATTCCACATTTGAAAATCAAAAATAGCGTAGAATAAACTTTAATAACATTAAAAAAATATCTCTGCGGTATTATAAACGCCGGTATGATTTTGTTCAATAAAACGAATAGTCATTCTAAATTAATTTGAGTTGTATATATTTCGTTAAAATATTTATGTACAAGATCAAACTTTCTTTGTCATTCAAGAATTTTTTTTCTATTTTTTTTTTGTTTTTGTTTTGTTTTTGTTTTTGTTTACATATGTATTTATTTGTTCAATATATCCATGTACCCCAAAGCATTTAAAAAAAATATTTTCAAAAACTTCGAAAACCGATATGATGATAGAGACAAAATTGGCATCACACGCGTATTTAAATTCAGATATGATAATGTTGTGTCCAGATGATGATTGAAATTGTAGATGATGTTGATGATTATTATTTCAGACTAGAAAAAAATTAAAGAGTTTGAGTAATACATCAAGAAGAATCGTGCGATCAGCATACAGTCATTTACCTCTCCACCCCTTTTGAAAAAAAAAAAAAATGAATCCGACCCTGATCCCGATATGTTTATGAAAAATGTCTCACTGTGTGTACTATCTTTTCTCCCCTTTTATAAGCAGGTTAGAGATCCGGTGAAAATAAAATAGATATCAATATTTTTATTGCGGATTGTCGTTCTACGAAAGCCTAGAAGGGCCAAATTAGGTCCATTTTCCTAATTTGACAGATGAAATTCGTTTAATGAATTCTAAAACTTGTTATAACGAATTAAATTCGTTAAAACGAATTCTTCAATTTGTTATAACGAATTAAATTCGCTAAAACGAATTCGACAAATCGATATATCGAATTCATATATTTTTAATTAACAAATTTTAGAATTCGTTTAAACGAATTTAATTCGTTATAACAAATTTTTGAATTCTATATAACGATTATATAATTATTGTATAACGAATTCAACAAATTTGTTATAACAGATTAAATTAGTTATAACAAACTCAAAGAAATTGTTATAACGAATTAAATTCGTTATAACAAATTCGACAATGCGTTATATCGAATTCAAAAATATTTTTGATAGGTCCTAAATTTCCGTATGTTTCCGTTATATGGAAAGGTCAAATTAGGAAAACGAAAAAAAAAAAAAAAAAAAAAACGTAATAACGAGATAAAAAGTCGTTATTACGAGATAAAAAGTCGTTATTACAACTAAAGAAGGTCGTAATTACGAGATAAAAAATGGTAAGTACGAGATAAAAAGTCGTTATTACGAATTTTATTATTATTTTTTTCATTTTCCTAATTTGACCCTCCTAGGCTTTCGTATCGTTCTTTTTTTTTCAATATTCCATAAAATGCTGGATGAAATAGACCTACTTGTTATTCATTTATCACAACTTAAAACTGCGGGGATTCTTATCTATTTATTTATATTTTACAATAAAAGTTGTTTAAACGTTTAACTAAGATTCTCTAAGGAAATAACTGGGAAATATGATGTAATACTGGAAGTTCCCGTGTGATTTCCATGAACTTTTTTTGGCCGGGGGGGGGGGGGGTCCCATTGTGTGATCCAGAAGAAAAAAATTTTTATGCATGACAATTTCTTTTCCTCTCTCTGACTCTGCATACTGATTTTCCTATCTCAAGATACATATATTTGCTAAAATATCCCAACTTTTCCCGTAAAATCATTTTTGCAACCTCGTTTGATGTCTCACCTTGATCTAGAAATAAAACTACCTTGCTATGTGCCTGTTATATAAATAACAAAGATTTGCAAATCAAATGACGGGTAGTGCATTTTTATTTTTCGTTTGTTATTATCTGAAAATAGTAAGATATGATTTAAGAAATCGGAGGGATTATTCCCCTATCAGAATCTCGATCGGGATCGGGATCAACCCAAAATCACTTCCTCTCGCTATTCAAGGGGCGTCACTGTTGATTGTTATTGTTGTGAGTTTTTGTGCATGTTACAACTTGTAATTTTATTTGTTTCCTCGATAGAAGAAGCTACTTTTGGAGTAAGTATAAGATAGTTAGGTTTAATTCAACATTTACATTAGTGTAGTATGCCAAGGCTAAGCTAGCATGCAGATATATATTCACATATCGATTTCCCATCTCCGCACAAACCTCGCTCGCTGCGAAATCATTCAAAATTAATAACCGGAACTAAAGAGATTTTTTGCTGCGAAACTAAATTATTCACTAAAGTATATAAAGTATGTCATTAATTTTACGGATTTTATCATTGCGGGCCAAGACTTGATATTTAAAAATGTGAACATGCTTCTAATAAAATATCTAAAAATGACCACACCCGTAACGTACATTGTTTATTCACTGTAACCATAATAACATTCGGTATCGAGTCACTCGTCGGTAGAATGATCGTCACAGTGTGGTTATCTGTGGAGTATCTGAAAGCCCTATGTAGGCGAAAGGTACACACTAAAGGAGATATGTAATACTTTAGCAGTAGGGTAAATCATACCTTTCAGTGTGAATATGATATATTACTGACCATATCCAGTATATTCAGTGGTGAGTGCACTATACAGATGTGTGAAACATGTATTTTGCATGATAATACACCATTTTAGAGAGAGGTGTGACCAGAAATCAACTGTAGCTTAAAAGGAAGTGTTTTTTTAACACAGTAATAAAACTATTAAACAAAAACCAATAGTACAACTCATTCAGTCTCTACTTTGAATAGTTTGAAATGTTAACAGAATTATTTCAAATTACATTATAGATTAGGGGTACAACTGTGTAATACAATGTGTAAATGAAGAACAGGTTCCCTGATTCAGCTTATATTTGATCATTTTAATGTTTTTTTTTACATTTCTGCTGCAGAACAGAGGGTTTATGGGAAATAAAGCCACATCTGTGGCAAGATTTTCATCTGCTATGAAGCCCAAGTGCCATATAAAAGCACGGTGTGAGATTTACCCCCGGAGTGAAGTGAAGCGGTTTCCTGTTCCTGATGAGAAGGTCCCATGGACAGTGAGTTTTCCTGATTATAAACCGGTGGATTACACAGCACCGTCAATCTTAAAACGACCTGTCTATGCTGACCCTGATATAAGGTATATTTAGAACTAAGTGAAATCAATGTTTTAATGTTCTTTCTATGTAATTCTGATATTAGGTCCAAAACTAAGAGAATCTTAAAACAGTTTGTCTTGTTATCTGAGTATGAGATGTAAAAGTTTGGTTGACCAAGACAAATATGTTTTATAGAAATTTATAAGAAAATTTCGTTTGTAACATTATGTACATACATGACTTTGCATCATTGCATCTGAGAATGAGAAACTTTCTTATCATAAGACCTAATGCTAAAGTTGTACATGTAATACATATACATGTACATGTATTTTAAATATAAATTTCTCTACTGATGCAGCAGTATTTAAGTCAATTGCACTACTTAAACCTTACATTCTGTTTTATTTTTCATTTCTATTGTATTCTTTATTATTTAGTTCACGGAATGAAGTCATACATGTAACAACAAAATGAGCAGAATAGGAAAAAAGAAGTTTTCCCCTCAAAGTCATTGACTCATGCTAATATTGTATATAATTACAATTTGATTGTCTGTTAAAATGTGTTTCTTTTTAATTTAGAAATGAGAAAGTAGATCCTCCACTGAATTTCAATGGCTGTGATGGTAAAATTAACAGAGTCAGTCATATGGGAAAATATGAAGTCATAAATGGTGTGCCAAGGTATGTATTGTGGTGTCACCATTTACTACAGTATTGCATTTCTTCAAAATGCAAAATTAAATATTCCATAAATAAGACTGCCTTTTGAAATAGTGGGAGAGATTTCAATTAGATACTAGATTAGATAGGAATTAGATTCAAAATAAATCATGCAGTCATGTACACAGGACCTGTAAGTAAAGTGATATTAGAACACCCATTTTGCCAGTAGAAGTGAGAACAAAATTAGATAAATTATCAAGTGATAAATTTTTGGTCAGTCTTAGTCACTGATGATTTTTGGTCAGTCTTAGTCACTGATGATTTTTGGTCAGTCTTAGTCACTGATGATTTTTGGTCAGTCTTAGTCACTGATGATTTTTTGTTTTTGGCTGCTTTAGCTTACTACCTATTATTTCTGACATTTATTGTACCTGACAGATGTCTTTGTTGTTCTCCTTCTTAAGAGATGTTCAGGAAGTCATATAGTATCCTGATTAATATAGTATCTATGATTGATTTTCAGGAATCCCCGGGGTAGAACTGGAGTCATAGGAAGGGGACAGCTGGGGAGATGGGGACCCAATCATGCAGCTGACCCCATTGTCACAAGGTAAAATAATGTCCAAAAAATGGACACCCAGAATGTAAGGCCAAAATTCTATGGTTTTTTTATCTTCCAGTCTCTCATTCTTCTAGAAGTTTTACTTTGACCTTTGTTTGAAATAACAACATAATCTAACAGTTGATTCACCCAAGTTTAACAAGTGTTACATATTTTATTAAAAGGAAATAAAAGATGTAAAAGTAACAATAAGCAGTATTATATAGAGTTGTACTTTGTGCAGATGGAAGAGAGATGATTCAGGGAAGGCTATACAGGGACCTGATTCAAAACCTGTCCTTCAGTTTGTGTCTGTTCAGCGGAGGGACAACCACCAATGGGCCATTCCAGGGGTCAGTGTGAAACAAATCTCTGCAATAACTAGTGTGTCCAGTTAGATAGGCAAAACACCCAATTAACACTTGTGACAAGTTAGGCAAAACACAGCACTAATAGTGTGAAAAGTTAGACAAAACACAGCATTAATCAGTGTGAAAAGTTAGGCAAAACACAGCATAAACCAGTGTGAGAAGTGCCCGATCAATGTTTCTTCAGTTAAACTCTGTATCTTTTGCCTAAGGAGTTTTGCTGAGAAAAATATATAAGAAGGAAATTGAAAACTAGTTACCTGCACGTGTAATTTTTTTCCAGGGGTGGATATTATTAATTTGTCTTATAGATGGTGGTGGGGGGGGGGGGGGGATGTTTTACATTGTAATTTCTCACTGTAGTTGGAAAATAGCTCTTCAGAGACCAACCTAACTTTAAATAAGAATTATTTTATCGTTATAGTAGATTCCTAAATATATACACTGTACAAGGAATTTATTATTGCATAATTTTGCAAGCACCACTTGTGATATACAATGTAAAATTACTCGCTATTATTCTTATATTACCCAAATACATTTAAAGACTCTTGATCAGCAGTTCACTTGTGAAGTGTTGTTATGGTGTATCTTTATCTTTAGGCACAGAGTAATGCCAATGTGAGGTACACAAATGTACATTTTAATGAAACAATCCTTTTGATATAAATTTTTCTGTTTTATTTTCCTTCAACTAAATTATCTTCCCAATAGCAGGGTTGTACCTAAGACCTGAGGGCCAGGGAATTTCCCCGCCTATAATGACAGAATCCCCCAGTAACTCTGGTATTTTCCCTCATCACCCTGTTTATGGAGGGATCCCCCTTCTACTTTTTAAATGTCCCCTGCTATTTAAATTCTTAGGAATAACCCTGCAATAGTTTCTGGCCAAGAATTTCATGACAGTGAAAGTTTTATTGCAACATAGTTATAGAAGGCATTATTACCAAAATAAAATTACAGTGTATCTGTATTCTTTTTAATGGATATGTCAAGATTACTTACACTGCCCTTGTTTTCATAACAAAGACCACATATAATATATAATAATAATTCCCTTTTGACTGATAGTTTTGTTTTATTAGAGTGTTTTATAATTTTATTAAGGGAATGGTGGATGCTGGTGAAGTTGTCACAGCAACAGTGAGACGAGAATTTGGAGAGGAAGCCCTCAATTCAATGGAAATGTCTCCAGCAGAAAAACAGAGGGTAGAGAAAGAATTAGATGAACTTTTTTCCACAGGGCGAGAGGTAATGAGTGAACATTATCTTTCTGCACGATGTGTTATTATATGATTAAAACAATGGATTTAGTATAGTTTAGAGGAGAGACATTCTTTGGGTCCCGGGTTCTGATACAAATTCTTTAAAATCGGCTGACATTGTAAAACGGGCACCAAACATTATATATGTTTCTTATCACAAAAAATATAACCTAATAAAATATGATTTATTGAGTAGGGGGACTATATTTTTTGTTATAAGGAAATGTAATTGTATAATGTTTACTGCATTTTAAATAGTGGATATTCAATGTTTTAGTAGTTGAATATGGAATTTATTTCATGAGTGGGACAGACATTTTGATATTTTCACTACTGCAAAGCGAGTGAAAGCATAAAAAATCCTGTCTCATGAATGAAAAAAATTCCATATTCCTCTACAAAATATTGAATTTTCTGTTTATTACATTTTCTTTGATTGTCCCTTTGCCTATATGTCTTTTTGTAACAGAGTGTCATAGGCTGTGACATCATAGTTGAGCAGTTTTAGAAGTCATACATGTAGCTTATAAGTGATCGTGATTTTGAACATATTGTAAACGTATTTTAAAAACATATTTGGAAAAAAACTTTGGCAGTTTTAGTCTCTGTTAGGATGGTTTATTTACGCTCTTTATCGTATAACAGGCCAGGGAGAATTTTTTACAATATTCTTCTTGAAGGGAAGGAAAATCTTGAGTTTTGCCACACTTCTAATATTCTGTTACACTGTCACAGAATATCACTTTGATATCTTTCACACTCTGACAGAATATCACCTTTATTCAATAAATAAGTTATGGTATTTCACTGTTGAAAATGTAATAAAAAATGTTTATTTACAAAGTTTAACTGGATCTTTGATTCTACACTGGTGTATTGATGAATGACTTTCTTCTTGAATGAGGTTACAGTGTTGTTATGATTGTACAGGTTTACCGAGGTTATGTGGATGACCCCAGAAACACAGATAATGCCTGGATGGAGACAGTAGCAATGAATTTCCATGATGAAGATAGCTCATGTTTAGGAAAAATTCAATTGTGTGCAGGTAAGGTGATATTACAAACCTATATAATTAAAAGTGTGGATGAATGGGAAAAAGGATATGGTTTTATGACTTTATATAAAGAGTTGCTATTTCATAGTTGTCTTAGATTTTTGTTTCAAAATATGGATTACCAATTCTCCCCAGAAATTATGCCTCCGTGTTATGCTCCGAATTATTTTTCTATGTTGTATACATGCATTAGCAATGATCAGGATTTACCTAAACCCCAAAGGCCTAAAAAATACTGATGAACATATAAGTTCATGTATGAAACATATTGACAAAACAGAAGTTAAAGTAAATATAAAAAATTATATGTCTAAAAGTTATGAAATTTAAATAGAAAAAAGAACCCAGATTATTTCCAACTTGAGATAACTGACAAAAAGCTCAAATTATGGACAGAAACTATTTAGACATAGACATGTAATCATGGTAATAGATAAGCAGTCTGTCCTGCCCCTGATTACTGACTCAAAGTACTTAGTAAACACTGATGTAGTCATGTAATAAATAACTAGTCTGTCCTGCCCCTGATTACTGAGTTAAGTACTTTATAAATACTGATGTAGACATGTAGTAAGTGACTAGTCTGTCCTGCCCCTGATTACTGACGTAAGTACTTTATAAATACTGATGTAGACATGTAGTAAGTGACTAGTCTGTCCTGCCCCTGATTACTGACTTAAGTACCGGTACATAGTAAATACTGATGTAGACATCAAGTAACCCTCCTGATTACTTGTCCTAGTATAAATGACTTCTGTTTCATCACAGGTTTCTTATCTTAGGGCATTTTTTTTTACCCACATGTCTAACTTTCTGTCTGAGGAAAGTATTAAGTAATTTTTAATATATTCGATCAGTGCATATTATCTATTCAAGATATATTACTAAAGTCAGGTACTCTTCACACAATTGCTCCGAAGAAAATAGTTCCATTCATGATCAGTAGATACAACATTACAACAAATGTTAAGAATAATGATATACATTTAGTATGTTAAAGAAAACAAAATTAACGTAAAAAGATTTTAAGAAAATCACTTTTTCCCCAGAAAAGCAAATAAAATGTTTTCATATTCCTACGCTCGCTGCCTCCTCAGTCTTTTTCACGAAAATATATAGGTCATACTTTGATTGATAATGATAAATCTTTTCACCAATTATATTACTTTCATGATTATTGTTTGTTAATTGTCGTATATTTTCTTTTGAGTGAGAATGTTAATCATTAATTTTGTGTGTTTTATTTTTCTTTTTTTTAAATAATGGAATGGTTATTATGGTTAGACACAGGTCTGCAATGGTAACTTCTTGGCAAAGCAACTCGTTGGAAAGGATCTTCGCACTTGTGTAGACCTAGGCTATTTGGTCTTGCAAGCACAGGTGTATGCACCGTTCGTTAGTGACGCTTAGATCATGTAGATTGGGTATCAGTATTTGATACGGACATGAACTGATGAAGAAGAGTGCAAGTTTTTTACTCAAGCGATAGACTGGGCTAGAGGGGCTGAGTTATCTAAAATGATGCTAGGTCATCGATCTACTCAGTTTAAAATCACGAAAATATACTATTTCTGTAATTAAAAACATTTCTAGAAACAAAAATGAAGTTTATCTTCAAAACGTCTGTATATTCAAAATCTATGTTAAGTGTTAAATGTCGGATTCTATTCTATGACTATAAGGAATATTCAGTGATGCTCCACAACTGATCTCACGCTTTCCTTTGCGTTTAACAACGACCGTCAATGCATCTCTGGACGAGTTCATTGATTACTCTAAAAGGTGACAGGTTGACCCATCTTTAACATCTGCCTATATACGTTGAGTAATAGTACTTTAATAGCACAAAATTAAAAAATAAATTAAAATCTATCCTTGATAGATCTATATAGTTTTGCTATTCAAAAAAAAACAAAAAAACTGCATGGGCTTTGATAATCCATAGCGGCTTGGACTTGTTTTGATTTTTTTTTTTTTCACAGTTCTAAGATTCTATCCTTGGAAAGTTAGATGGTACACATGTACCACAGACCCATAGTTAACGCGGGATTTTTTCGGAGCCCCCCCCCCCCTTTTCACTTTGAAAACGTTGCTACAGGCCTGTACATTGCAACATGCTATTTGGATCAAATATTTCTGAAAATGAGTGAGGTGTTAAATACATTTTTAAAATTGTACGATTAATTATATTTAGTCTATGTTCTATGTGAAATTAAAACTATTTTAAAACTATGTGCAACTTTGTGATAAAGTCACTGTAGATGCATGTAACGTTATATATGTACATGCAGTTTGTTTCCTAGTACACGCATATTTTATTCAACAAAATATGTTGAAACTCAGTAGCCTAAATATTATGTCATTTTAGGATTTTTATGGCACTTTTATAGTTGACTTTCTAAAGCTTGAGTATCTCTGACATTTTATCAGTAAATACTTGTTTTTTTTTTATTAGAAATCATCTGAGCACAATGCAAATTCGAATAAATTAAAAGTCGAATATCTTGGATATGGGGTAACCCATATCTATTCTTGTTATATGTAAAGTTTTGAAATTTCTGAAGTACCTTATGTATTAATAAATGGGGATGTAATGTTTTGGATAGAGGTCAGTATGAGCTAGAATTTGCTATTTTTTGGTGTTGGCGAGTGTGGATGTTTGTGTGTCACAAAATACTTGGCACTTGGCAAAAGATTGATAGTAAGGTACGATTGAAATAGGAGTTGTCTTTTCTGCAGAAGGGTTTCCTTACAAATGATTTCTTGTCTGATAATTACTAAGGATTTAAGGTGAATGTAGGATTTCTGTTACAAGTTTTGTTTGATATTTCAATTTTGTTGTCACTTATTAGCTCACCTGAGGCAAAGTCTCAAGTGAGCTTTTCTGTCTAAAATTTGTCCCTTGTTTTTTGGCATTATCATCATTGTAGAAGTAGGTATTGTAAACTTTTCACAATATTTCTTCTTATGGGTCAATTTCAGCCAAACTTGCCACAAAGCATCCTTGATGAATTGGATTTAAGTTTTTCAAATGAAGGGAAAGGCAATTTTTCAAAAGAACATAATTGAGAAATAATGAAAATTGGGTGGGGTCATTTAAAAATCCACTGGACCAGAAAAGATGAAACTTATTTTGAAGCTTCCTGACATAGTGTAGATTCAAGTTTATTCAACTCATGGCCTCCAGCCCAGGGGTAATGTTGGTTCACAGAAGGGGATCAAATTTTTACATGGGATGTTTGGAGAAAATGTGTTAAAATCTTCTTTACAGGAGTCATGATTAATAATATTATGGCAACCATCCTCAGGTAGTACAGATAAAAGTTGTTCAAGTCATGCCCTTGGGGATAGAATTGGGTCACAATAGGGATCAAAGTTTTACATGGGACTATATAGTAAAATATATTTAAAAATTGTCCTCTCAAGAACTGGAGGGCCATGATCAGTAATATTAAATTGCAAGCAACACTTGGTAGTGCAAGATCTTAAGTTGATCAGTCATGACCCCCCCCCCCCCCCAAATGTTGGGTGGGGCCACATATAGGGATCAATGGTTAACATGGAAATATATGTGTGTATGAAAAACTATTTAAAAACTTTATATCAAAAACAGAAGGGCCATGCTTAGTGATATTAATATGTATTCACATGTAGTGCTGATCCAGGTTTGTTGAAATCATGTCCTTGTAGGGTAAGGTGGGCCACAATACAAGATCAATATTTTAAAAGGCAAATAATAGACCCTGGGGTAAGACTAGAGTAAGACTAAAATCAGGAGCAGTTTTCACCTCATGTTCACTTCTTCTGCAGAACAGTACATCCATGTTAGTCATGATGATATTGAAGCATTCAGTATGTGTTGATTCAAGTTAGGTTATGTCATAACTCTTTGGAGCTATGGTGGGATCACACTATGGGGTAAGAAATTTTTCATGTGAATAAAGATGGATGTTTTTAGGTTATGTCATAACTCTTTGGAGCTATGGTGGGATCACACTATGGGGTAAGAAATTTTTCATGTGAATAAAGATGGATGTTTTTCCCCTTAAAATCTTGTGATGAAGACTGGGAGGGCCAATGGTACTTAGGTGAGTGTTGTGGTCCATGGGCCTCTTGTTTTTTGGTATTGAATATTGTTGGAAGATGATATTACATGTATTTATATTTGAATACTGTTTATGACATAAAAATGTAAGTGTCTGTGGTATTTTTCTTCTAAGGATTACATGGAAATAATATCCAAGTTTTGGTAAAAATTTAGGAAAAATCTTTTATCAATTACTCAAAGTTAAGTGGTCAGTATGAAAGGTTATTGTGAGTGTGTGTTATTTGTAAGGTACAGGAACATTTTGTATGTTGTTGAATAAGAATATAAAAAAAGTAAATCACTTTCATGTTATTTTAGGTGATGATGCAATGAATGTGCAGTGGATGGACTTAAGTGGTAAACTAGACCTCTATGCAAGTCATATAGAATTTCTGGCTGAGGTAGCCAACAGTCACAATGCTAGCTGGTGACATTACGCTGTATTAAATTCATATCATCCTTAAAATGTAAGCAGTTTCCATGTAAACTCATACCAAAGTATAGGAACTTCTACAGTAGAAAAACAAATGTAAGAATCAGCAGTTCCCATGTAATCATTTACCAAAGCTATAACATAGACATATATATTACACAATACTCTGCTTATTTACTTCATGATTTTATGATTATAATGATTTATGCAAAAACTTTCTTATTTAAAAATCAAATTGCATTGCTCTAGGCTATGTTTTCTATGAGTTGTGTTTATTTTTTAATTTTGTTTGAAAGTGAAATATCTGATGTGAGATTAATATCAAATGAAATTTTACAAATGCTTGTACATGTGTATATATGTAAGGAATACTTTTATTACTGGTACATAGTCATTTCATATGAAATCAGATTGTACATCAGCAAAAATGATTAGATATTATACTGCGAGTTTTTGCTGTTCAGAGATGTGAAGTTGTGGTCATTGTACTTTGATTTTGTTGTTACTTATTGTCCTTAGGTGCTACCTGAGAAATAAACACTAAAAGGAAAAAAAATGTGGTAAAAATTTTAATGAGAATGGGCTGCGCCTTAGCAGTAAAACCTTGTTCTGCCAACATTTTTACCCCAGTGGAAACAAATTACACAAAGTTAAGTAACCCACTTCTTACTTTGTTTTGTCAATATGTGATTGTAAACACTGATTTGTCCCCCCAAATGTAATGATAATGTAGTTAACTACAAACTTTTATGAGTATGTATGGATATGTAGTTTACTTCATAATTTAATGAGTTAATATATGGATATGTTACATAGTTATCTAGAATTGTTGAGGAGTTTATAAAAATCAACAACGTTTCTGGGAGAGGGATATTGTTTACAGCTCAAACTTATTCTATTTCTACTAAAAAAAATAGATATATCTTTAGTGGAGAAAAAAATATCAACAAATCTTGTATTTTATATAAATGGTTATATGTTGTGTTTTTACGTATTGCATACATGTTGGTTCATTGTTATAAGCAGCTTCTAATCACATTGTTATTTGTGTTGAATTCATTTGATGAAATATTGATAATAAGTTGTGCAATCATAATGATAGAACTCCACCTTTGTTTTAAAAAATCAAAAAGAATGTAAGAAACAATGCAAAGAAATGCAGTTAAAAATGGAATGTTATTAATGCCTAGTAGATACTTTCAGCAATTGTTATTATGTAATTCAAAAGTTCAGTCACATGAAATATTGGACTTTTTATTGGTAAAACTTCACACCACCCCAGGGTTTTAATTGCTATTATAAATTATAATGATTGTTATGACTGTAGATTGATCTGTAATAAATTTTAAAAAAAATCAGAATTTGCTGATATTAAGAATACCAATTTTTAGCTCTACTGGTCAGAGACCAGAATAGCTTATGTGATAGTAACGTGTCGGTCCTGCGTCCGTCTAGCTGCCTGTCCATCTGTCTGTAAACAATTTTTCTAAATGCTACTCTTCCAACAGTTTTGGACTGATTTCGTAGTAATTTGGTACATAATTAGACTACACTAAGATACATAATTCTGTTTATTGGTTTTCGATGAATGGTGTTCCCATGGTTATAACAATAGAAATTCTGGGAAATACTTTCAAAACGCTACTCCTCCTACAGTTCTGGTCTGATTTCAATATAACTTGGCATACAGGTAGTCTACACTAAGATACATGATTATATGTATGGGTTTCTGATTTCAATGAATGGTGTGGCCATGGTTACTAAAAATAGAAATTTCTTAGAAAAACTTTCAAAATGCTACTCCTCCTACAGTCTTGATCTGATTTCAATATAACTTGGCACACAAGTAGACTACACTAGGATACATAAATCTGTTTATGGGTTTTTAATTTCAATGAACGGTGTTGCCATGGTTACTAAAAATAGAAGTTTCTGTGAAATACTTTCAAAACCCTTCTCCTCCTACAGTTTTTGTCTGATTTTAATTTAACTTGCCACACAAGTAGACTACACTTAGATATACATGATTCTATGTATGGGTTTTTTATTTCGATGAACGGTGTTGCCATGGTCACTAAAAATAGAAATTTCCTTGAAATACTTTCAAAATGCTACTCCTCCTATAGTTTTGGTCTGATTTCATTATAACTTGGAACACAAGTAGACTACCCTTAGATACATGATTCCCTGTATCAGTTTTTGATTTTGATGAATGGTGTTGCCATGGTTACTAAAAATAGAATATTCTTGAAATACTTTCAAAATGCTACTCCTCCTAGAGTTTTGGTCTGATTTCAATATAATTTGGCACACAAGTAGACTACTCTGAAATACATAATTGTCCTCATTGTTTTTTGATTTTGTGGAATGATGTTGCCATGGTTACTAAAATCAAAATTTCTATAAAATTCTTTTAAAAGGCTACTCCTCCTACAGTTTTAGTCTGATGACAAAAAAAACTTGCCACAAAAAGAGATTAAGCCAAGGATCATTATTCTATTTATTGTTGTTGCAAAGTTTCAAGTCCAAGTATTCTTTGATCTTTCCTTTGTTGTAAGTACAAACCAGTCGAGCTACAGTCTCATCAGAGATTTCTGGTTACCATTTACAAAAAAGAATGTTGGATTTAAGACCCTCTTGAAGATCTCCAAGCTGAGATATGAAATACACGTTTGTCTCATTATTCCTCCCACACATGCAGTGACTCATTCTGTTTTATATCCTCAGGTTAATTACAACAGGCGTGGGTGGTTGTGATTTGTTAAGGAAGTGATATAGATATTTGATTTAGTTATCAGCTAAATAAGCAGACCAATTTAACTGTGTCAAAAATGCTAGGAAACTTGGTGATTATATTTCACTAAAGATATAAATTGTGGTATGTGCCTGTATTGTATCATCTGTGGTTGATCAACTTGTGAAGTTATGGACGAAATTCAGCACAGAACATGGGTCATTATGCAACGATAAATGTCCAAGAGATAAATGTATTTAAAGATGGGATGATTATACTCTGAATAATGATAGTTAAGTTATAAAATAAAATAAACAAATTGTTAGGCCTTTATTTTCAATGAATTGTCTACAAATTTTTCTGTTTGCCTGATCATGACAAGGAGCACATTGCAGGGTGACAGGTCGACAGGGGATTCTTACTCCTCTGTTGCACCTGATCCCACTTCTGATGTTTTTAGAGGTCCGTTTCCTCTGCTCCTGATTTGTATTGTTTCATTGGAATTTTGAGCTTGATTACTGTTCGTTATCTTCATATTTCATAATCAAAAATTACAGATATAGGTCATAGTGACCCAGTTCATGTTCCTTCTTTATGTTGCATGCACATTCTTAACTTAATATATATTATTTAACATAAATATTTTTATGTTTCTCTGGGACAACCTTCGTATTATTTGCATCACCAAAACGGTTCCGTATTAACAAATGCCTAATATGGATAAAATTCATGTGATATGTGCCGAGAGGTGTTCAATTCACAATGATATGTTATTATTATGACATTATTTAAACTGTAAAATGCTTTCTTTATATGTTAATACGGGAATTAAAGGTTGCAACCACTGCAATTTTTTCTGCAGTATATGATGACAACCTTTAATCCCACTATTAATAACATTATTGGTTATATTTATGTCTTTATAAATAATCATATTAAGTACACGAATATTGAGGTACGAAAAATATTGTATTTATTTACCGGGTATTCATCTGTATGTCATGGTATGTTTCATTGACAGAAGAGCTCACTGCTTACGAATTCTTTCATGTACAGACGGCATCAAAAAACTGGTTCGAACTAGTTAGTTAAAGTTAATCAACAGGTTTTCTAAGAAAATAATGGAGAAATATTATATTATGATATTTTGACATAGATTCAGCGTGTGTAGAAAACATGTTGCAAGTATCGAAGGAACGGGGGCTGATATTGTTTGTAAGCTGTCGAGCTGTCTGCCTATGAATTTGAATCCGTTGGTATTTCAAATTGGACTGAGATGATAGTAAATAGAATTAATTGTGTTAAGTTTGAAGGATCTCAACCTAACCTTAGGTTTTCCAAAATGGAAATTCTTCTTAGAAAATTTCCTTGAAAATTAATTTCAGATTGCTTAAATTGTTTAATTCTTAATGGTATTAGAGAGAACTATTTACCACAGAATGACGCTTACTTTGAGTAAAACGGAGTTTTCGGAAATAAATGAAGGCGATCCTGTAAAAGAGATTGGAGATTCAATAACAAATTTCCTTTGTGTATATTATAATGAAATTATTTTGAAACTTATTCGGTTCTAAGTTTCATTATCTCAGGTTTTTGACAAATTCTTTGAAAGACAGCTTACGAAACAATTTGCACCTTCCCTTCCAGGAAGGTTTAGTACTATATCATAGGAATTCTTCTGGGGGAGTAGTTTACTATGGAGGAAGCTCTACTAAATGACACTGGGAGTATTTAGCATTCCAATTTTTATGAACTTTGTCGAGGTGAGATGTTTTATACAGCAGTCACGAAGTGCTCTTTTACTATGTATACACATGACGCATGTAATGTCGATATATATAATGATATTATCTACCTACTAATACGTAAAGAAAATGCCGTGACTCTAATTTGTTATGTAGACCAGTCTCATGTCCCTTGTGTGTTAATATTTAAGAAACATAGGGCAATAATGTTCAATAAATTAAGCGTGTAAATTGTGAACTCGATCGTGAACGTTGCTTCCAATCTTTGGAATTTTGTCAAGCTTACAGCATTATCTTTTTCTAACCCTTCTATTTCTTTACTATTCTCTGGAGACATTCTCTCTCTATCTTACTACGTATTTTACAGCATAGTTTTTCCAGTTACAGAATTGCTGAAGAATTAATGCTTTCTCCTGCAGCCCCCAGAGAGTCCGCTACAGAGTGTAGATAATTTCCTCCAAATAGCGTATTTTCTTGAGAACACAGCCACCGAATTAGGACGGGGGTGTTGAATGTTATGAGTATTGACGTGCCAAGAATTAGTTTACGAGCACCAGTAACCGTATTATCTTTAAAACACAAGATAAAGTCCCAATATACGTGCCTAATGAGTCTGTCATTCTCCCAGTATCGATTGTTCATCAAAAGAATAGATACATCATGAATATTGCTTTTTTAAAAATATGTTTTCCATCTGTCCGTTAACAGAGCTGAATGTCGTGTCTTTAACAGCTGCCAACGGCTTGTAAACATTCAGAGATGCTTTGGAATAAGTGTATAAATGAATTTGAAGCGAGTGGAAATTCGGTTGTCCATTTTTCTTTTGGAAAATATTTAAACCATTTGTTTTTTTCCCCTTTTTTTAAAGACTAAAGAGCATTAGTATTTCAAATATTCATTTGTATTTTAGCTTCTAGTCTGAAGTAATGCTGTACTAGATTTTATTTATAAAGAAGATGGGCGAAC